TACGTACTATGCAAGTTTACCATCTTGATTTCCCCACAGCCGAATTTGAAAGCAAATAAACGTACGAGACGGCAAACATTAACATTATTGCTTTGAGTACGCTGGGATCGATGTAGACGGACGGCTGTTGAGTTTATAATCGTACTTGCTCTATGGACTAGAAAACTAAATAATCTGATTCTAATAATATTTGTATTCATAATAGGTGCAATAAAAATTGTTCTGTCTGAATGTGTGAATTAGAATTCGTTCGTATTACTACCATTCAGGTAAACAGCTGTAGGCTATGAAAAAGCCTGACGATTATTCTGAACGGGTTGTATTTCAGTTATTAGGTATACAAGTTATTCTATTAGGTATCTGTACCAAAAATTTATCATAAGATAAGCGTATGTTTTTATAACAAGAAAAGTGATAAAGTCTCGTATCCCCGTTAAAAATAGAAAAACTCCACAATAAATAAAAAAAAACATTTCATTAAATAATTTTATTATTTATTTGGACTTAATTCTTGCTTAAAACTGTTGATTGGTTTCATTTCATTTATTTAAGCTATGGCGATATATTAAGAGCTATGGTTTTTACCACTTTAATTTTAGTGTAGTTGCTATGCTTTCAACACCATTTTAAAGCAGTAAGTATTCCACCTTTGTTATTTCAGTACTTGCTACTCAACACCTCGAATTCCAATAACCTGCCATTATAAATACGTATTTGGTTAGCTTTACCACAGCTGACCATCCTCTAAATTCCAGTAGATCTTCTACCTATTCTACCCCTCCTTAATTAAGTCCATACTGGGTAGCGACAACAATGGCCGGCGACCGATGCTCGCCAAGATATTCAAATACGTCTAAGGCCACTATTATATTGCCAACGTTTATCGAGATAGGTACTATTTCTCTTATGTACAACCCACTACCTGAATAACTTTATTTTAATAGATGACGACCTCAAAATTAACAATTAAATTATATAGCGATGTATTATGGTAGTACTAAATTGTTAATTCACAGTTATAAAATATAAGAAAACTGACATATACACGTGTTTTTCTCGCCGATATTAAATACAAAACATAGCGACCTTATGGATTTATCTCTCTCAGATGTTCGCGAAATAAATAATTATTTCCGCAGCATAGCTTTCAAATAGTGTCAAATGTTTCTTTTCTATTTATAAGGGTGATAAATATAGCAAGAGCCATTACTAGTTTGCGGCTGTTTTTAAAACAAGATATATGATACAAATTCAAAAGCATGAAACAGTTTTTCTGTCGTCACCCCGACCAAGTCGGTTCCCAATTGGGACATCGATCCCTGTACTTTAGCGCCCGTCTGGCGCTACACACAACTATATTCCCACTCTATCCCATTTGAAAGCAAGCTTTTAAACTTACAAAATTAATTTATATGCGTTGTTGTGGCTTTTGAAACACATTTCCTGTAACTGCTTTCATCTATTCAGCTCATTTCTGTTCATAAACTGAAATATTTATATGATTACCAAACAGAGTTACTCAGTTATTAGTAAAGAAGTCGGTTATACTGTATTTATAATATTAGATACTATAATTCTCTATTTATAGGACGTATATGAAACAGATACGCTTATTTGATGATTCATTGAGTAGGTATACGGAAGCAAAACAAATACCCGCCCACAAAACCCTTTGACGTAATATGTATTTAAAGAACTATCCGTATGTAAAAAGTGACTCGATGAAGTTGCTTTCCAAAATATTTTTGCAGTATGTTATGCAAGTGTATACATTAGAAATAGAACTTAAAAGTGTGAAAGCATGTTTTGGTAGTCAAAATGATTAAGTAGATATTTAAAATACGTGAAATAGAGACACCTACATATTTAACCTACAAATATATTAAAATGATATAAAAACATATATTTATGTGTCTGAACAACAAGCAAAATTGTAATTTTTTCCTTAAACCTTACAAAATCGAATGCTACCTAAGTACCTACTTATTATTCCAGTGCTGATATTCAAGTAGGTATGTTAGTTCTTATAAACAATCGAGTGCATAAAATGTATTTTAATATATGATGGGGTATATATACATGAAGGGCAGATGCACTGCATAGTAAAAACCGATAGGCAATACTTAACATGGCTCTTGGTTAAAACTTTAAAGGAAACTTGTGGAGGACACTGAACTAGGCAGTCCGTAGTCTGCCAGTGTCTGTTTAATAAGCTTATTAACTTACTGTAATGTTAAATTTTAACGAAAAAAAATGGAATAATCCATGTTCATTATTAATTTAAAAATAATTCACTTGATGTTATACAATTAAAGTAAGAAATTTCAAATTGTGTTGTTAAAAAATTAACTATTTACAGGCACTTCAGTACAGCTGTTGACAATCTGATTGCGCTAAGAAATAGGTACTTTAGTTTTACATATGGCCGAGGTAAAAGTAAGATACTCTCAGGAGTTGCCGCATAAATTGGCCCGTTCGTGATGCAGTACCTCGTTGAATATGTATAGGTGCGCTCCCTTCCGTACTTCTCATTTTACTAATAGATTTCTCTTTGATTAAATTTGTATACGTTTTATTCATACGATCGAGACCAGTATTGTTAGCAGTCCGACCGCTTGGATCACCGGTGTTACCGCATTCGATGTAACTACTCGTACTATCTTTAATTTAACTTATTCCAATATTAAAATGATCTATTTAATTCTGACTTATTTGTTTTTATGCATTTATTTCAAAGTGATTATTGTGTCTGCATTCGATTTCTGTCGAAAATGGCCTAATTAAAACTGAATGGAATAGATGAAAAAATAAGTAATCTTTTATAAAATGCAAACACATTAATGAAAGAAACTTGTGGCCATATAAGGCGTAGCACACGATTGCACGTTCGCTATATGCACGAATCAAGACACTTTTATGCTCGAAACTAAAGCAACTTTAATTCAATAAATATTTTTTTTTACACAGTATTAAAATTTTGACAATTTTCAGGAAACAATAATGACCAACGTCAAAATAAGTAAGGTTGTTGATAAGTGAGATCAAAGGAATATCTTATTTAAATTATCCTTGTCCCATTAAATATACGACCGGTAACCCTTTGGCATTTGGCTTCGAACGACTGGACGTACACCGAGGAATCAGATATTTATAATGGCTTTATTAAGACGAACCATCGGCTGAGCTCACGCCCGCTTATTATTATAATTTAGACGATTGCCTAAAGCTTCGTTGGATGAATGAAGTCATCAGTATTGTAAGTGTTTTGCTAGTTTTATGTACTTACTTCATTCGCTTAGAATGAAAAGAATATTTTTTTGTTATACTCGTACATTTAATGAATGTACATACTACATTCCAATACTACAAAGAAAGGTAAATTTTTGTTTAAATAATTGCTCTTTCAACAAACGTTTACCTACCGAGTGAAGTAGATGTGATAAAACGCAGTCAACAAATCATATCTAGCTTTGTTATGCAAAAATGCAACGAATATTCCGTGCCACGAAGTCATGGTGGTGGCCTGTTCATGATTATAATGTGTTTATACTTCTTGTTGGCCTCAGGAACACGTGAGCATGACTCTGCAAACTGTATAATGAGGTGATAATTATAATACAAAAAAAGACAGACCCCTCCTATACGGCATCGTCTCTAAAATGCCACATTAATTAGTGACTAAAATGATAAAAATATAAATTAAGTATAATTATTAAAACTAAGTAACAATACTAATAGGCAGCTGCGTTATTCGACTCGAAGTAAAAGCCACTAATCTTGGAAATGGAAATATTTATGGAGGTCTTACCTCATTGGAGACATTAAAAGTTTTCCAAGCCATAACGGCGGCAACTCTTACCTCTCATTGTTCATTCCGGGTGCGTATATTGTTGGAGTTGAAATTTGTAGGCACCACTGAAAAAGTGTCAATTCATCATAGCAAAGCCCCGGGCTCGAGACCGAAGTCCCCGCAATAAATCTCACTTCCATACTTTCGCGTGGGGAAAACGACTGCTTTATGAGATCCTTAAGGCTGTATGGATTTGGGAAAATATTTCCTCTGCGTGCTGGCCCCCGACAAATGAAGGAGTATTGAGCACATTAGAATGTGTGAAGGGCCTATAGGCGTTTTTATTGTTATGCGAAGCAATTTGTTTAAAAGCCAGTGCGTTACGGTAGTACATACGAAGTGCCGATTTGCTAATATTTATTAAGCTTAAAGGACCTCTTTGGATTTAGGATTCGAGAAAAAAGCGAATAAATGTTTATGTGGATACTTAAATTACTCACCTACCCTTTTCATTCTAACGTTGCAGGTACTAAAGTCACTTTAGGATAAATGAGATGTCATTAGTCAACTATTTCTTGCAATCATGTGTCACTGATGTTTAGAAATCTTCACTAATCATGATTAATAACGGTCCATTTGTGTCGGCTATTTTAAATAAGGTTTATTGGAAAATAAAAAAACCAGACGTATTCTTAGTCTCGTTATTCATACTTAAGTTCTATTGCATTATTGAAATGGGCGTATGTATTGATTCAAATTCGTACTCGTACCTTACTACATAAATTGCTTTCATGCGTGTATGGGTGCAGCGCCCGCGCACACTGGGCGCGCCTCATTAGACCACGCGCCCGCCTCTTGCGTCTCGCCTCCCTCTATATTGCATACACCCGTTTATCCAGACTCGACGACATTTCCATTGCTCGTGCAGAAAATAGACATTTTCGGAGAGCGGCTACAAACGGCAGATTCTTCTTAGATAAGTTTATTGTGTGCTAATACACTGCCACTATCTAGTTAGTAACAGCCTGCACGATACGCAGTAGTATTTGTTTTGCTTTGATGGGGGGGCAAAGCTAAAATGGAATATATCTGCAACAGTTTTAGTGTGAGAAATCTCTACCTGTAGAATCCCTCTTCCTAAAAGGCGTGCCAGATAAATTGGAAACATCGTGGGCGTTGTGATTTGAATTGAATTAATTATGAGAAGCGCATGACTTGCTCACGAACTCCAGCAGGAAATGCAAACAACCCGGAAAAATTACGAGATTATGGGATACTCTTGGCGCTGCTAGAAGCCTTGCCTTATCTGGATACAGAGTTCAATAAACTAAGGGACGACCGCTTCGAACTGAATTCTCGGCAATTTATACGACAAAATAACGCATACAGGTGTCGCGGAACACTGCCGCCCTTAGAGCAGACGCCGCTGGGAACTAAATAGGCATGGGGTCCTTAAGCCTGAGTGCTGAAGCGTTAGACACGCCCGATGCCGCGATAGCGCTCGCTACACATTCCCAATTACGATTTATACAGTCTGTAAAAGGTAACCAGTAATGACGGGGACCCCGCGAATGCCTTTTTCTCGCACAATCGAAATCCAATTATTTTCGAAAGTAACTAAGATACCGGTCGCAACAGAAGCACAGAGGCGGCCCGTAAATCGACTCTGGATGTTTGTAGCGCGCTCGGAATATGAATTATTCTCGGTGATTGTTCTTGCAACCGCGTCATGGTTCATACATGAAGCGCGAACTAGTTTTTTCGAGGTATCTCCGTAAAACTCGTAAATAAAATCGTATTCGCGAAAAGCGGCATTTCTGCTGGGACTTCACATTCTTTTTGTTACCAGATACGTCAGTGCCTCCGACAGTCTTGACATCTTATCATTCTTTCTGGCTTGTAATTATAAACATTATTATCGACAGTTAAGTCTTGGAACCGAAAATGGACTTTGAGAAAGTAACCTCACGTAGTGGCTGCGGTTCCCCACCAAAAATAACCTAAATTTGTTGGACGAATTTTTCGAAACTGTTTTTTATCAAATTTGGTTGGTAATTGGCTGAACGGCTTGCGAGGCTACCAGCTATAATTGACGGTGCTATCATTCTTAACTTTTCGTCGGGACATTCGGGGAAACTCTTAATTGGTCCACCTTTTGTGACGTTCAATAACGCCGCCTTAATAATAACACTATCAATTATTAGCAGATCGTTGTTTTTAATTAACTGTATGATTACCTGTTAAGGTTTATGTCTAGCTATGATTCGATGTTTAGTACATCGAAGTTTTGATTTATAATATTTATATGAAATTAAACTTATGCATGCAGGTCTTGCTTAAGTTTCAGTAGTTCATTAAATAATGTTCTATAAATATGTACTACGAATACTTTTTGTTTATTATCAAAGTCAATTTGATATTTTATCGACAACGACTTTTGGTTGATACAAATACATGATGATATAACTAACATTACTTTTGGTCTATATAAAGTTAACATTTTGAAAAGCAATCATAACTAACTTTTGTATTCATTAAAACATGTACATGAAGCGAGAATTTCTGGCATACACCATTATAATTAGCCATGGACTGTATTCTAATCGACTGGTTAACTTTACAGAACATTTTTATAAAACTGAAGCGAATAGCCATTAAGTGGAGCATCTCGGATCTATAAAAGAAATAAGTTTCTTATTGGTTCACAATTAAAGAGTTCTGAAGGTGACCGTGCCATCTTCTTTCGAATAAAAAGCTTACATTCGTCGAATACTAAACGAGAGAAGCTCCTCTGAAATTCTGAGCTTAAAAAGCTCCCAAACGATACTTATCAAGTGTTTGAAATGACACAACCGGATTCCGGCCCTTGGACATGTAGTTTTTTTTCATACACGCATAAAACTGACGAATTTCTCAATATAAGAGAGATGACCAACGTGTCCTCACGTAGTAGGGGCCTTAGTGGATATTTGGAGCGGTATAGCAAAAAGTGTTCAGGGACCCATTATTATGGCATTTTTGTCGTCTGACGGGGTTGGAGTGGTCGCGGCCATTATAGCGAGGGGCGGCGCCCCCATCCCGCCGCACCCGGCCCGCGAGCTCGAACTGAATCGCGTTCGCCGCAGCGTACCTACACCACGCCATCCATCTTCGATATGCACATAAAGCGAACCGGGGCCCGTTACGGCAGACCCACATTCCTGATGCTCTTAAATTTATTTATCTCTTTATTAATTCTCCAGATGTACTTAAATGTTTTGTGTGAAATTCTGTTCAAGAAATTGTATTAGCAGGTGGAATCAATCATGTTGATCGGACATTCTGAGTTTCCAAGTCGTCTATTAAATTCTCACGTATAAAGTCCTGGCTAATTACGATATAAAAAATAGAAAAACACAACTGCTAAATGTTCTTTCATAGGCAGTTAGCACTCGTAGGCCAAATAATATATGTACATACAAGATATCTATAAAACTCACCTGTTAGTGGATTAAAACTATGGATCCAACAAATCTTGAACAGGGACTGGTATGGTAACGAAAAGTTTAATGATGTGTGTTTTAAACAGCTATGTTTGCCTACTTATTTAATTTACTTTTTTTTCAACCTGTATATTTTTTCATTGACCATTTTGCAGTATTTAATGATTGTGATTATTTTATCGTTGTTACTAGAGTTCTGACCTTTATTTTTATCTACCTTTTACTTCCAAAATTTAAAGAAAACAGTAAGAAAAATAATCTACTATGAAAAAAAAACTATTTCGGGACTACTACTTCAACTTTAATGTCATGGACTCACACACAGCTGTAAGATATCTCGACAGTGAAAGGTGGCGACTTCTGAATTTTAGGAATTAATCCTATGCATTTGTAAGATGAAATCTCTAGAATGACACAAATTTAAAGTTTTATGTGAAAGGTCTAAGTCTATTTCCAAATCGATTAACGATACTTTCAGATTGTATGTTTCAAGTCATATTAATTAAATAAAATAAAGCTCAAATCAAAAAATCTTCAATTCCTTGAAATCTCAATAGTATCTTCAAGTCAGTAGTTAAGCTACGACTTCGAACTTGGTGGATAAGTAAATTGAATGATATGTAATATTTAAAGTTGGTTCCCAATGAAATATTCGCAATAGAAACATTCAATACCACGAAGTTGGTAATAAAACTGTAGTTTAGAAGCTCAAGGGATGCGGTGGTGACTCTGACTGGCGTGTTTACGATCTTTAAGCGATGGACTTCGATCGATTGCCTATTTCTTTGAAAGATTACCTCAAATATATTATTAACCAATTAAAATATTAATCTCTCTCTATAAATCTATTCCAGGAGAGCTTTCTTGGAATATAAATAAGTACTTTTTCCGTGGAACGTAAATAATAAGTATATCTATGTATGCACCATCTTCAATCAATTTAATGTTTGCGATTTCAATTAATACATCTTGCCTAAAGTATGTATTAATTAAAGACGCAAAAATTATCCACTGAAGCAGATCTTATCTGTAACTGTTTTGTGACCTTTTTTTTTGTAATTTGTGTGCATAATTGAATTATGAACGATTAAAATAAAAGTTGCTTCTAAAATATAAATAATACTCAACATTACAACTAGGCAATAGTTTAAATCTACTGTAATGGATATAAAACAATCATGTTTTAGATCCTGTTTTCTCACTAATAAAGCAAATCTTGTCGATTTAATAACAAACCATATTAATTTGTTATTAATTAACATAGACCACCAGATTGATGAAAATCACTATCAGCTGATAGAGGCAATAAATTGCGTGGTACTGAGCGCAATCATGAATATCTAATAGTTCTAATACCTGTAGGTCTAGATAGTCTGTAGTCAGTCTAATTTGCAATAGCGCCCTTGTGTTAATTGATCCTGGGGGTGTTGGTTACCGTAATTGTCGATAAATTGTTCCGCGCATTAATCTCAATATCAGGCTACTGTGTATTAACGACCTAATGGATTGATAAAATGATGACTGCATCTTATACAGTATAGAAGGCTCATTCATCTGAGAATTACGTCTCGAAAACTTAACTTATAAATAAAGTCATGCAGCTTGTGTCCGTTATCAAGCTTTTGAGTCAAGATAACCGTGGTAACGTGTATTATCAAATCGGTCCTGCCTTTTAGAAGATTACCCGGAACAAAAAGACAGACAAAAAATATTTAAATAGGTTTTTAGGTATAGGTATCGTGAAAAAAACCTATTATTTTGACATTTCAAACAGACACTTCAATTTTATTTTAGAATGTTTTCGTAAAGACGTTGTGGGCAAATATTTTTTTTTTGCTTTCCTTTTATGTTAATATTGTAAGGATGTTTAGTTTTCAAAGAATATTTGTACAATTCCTTAATTAAAACAATGCCGTAATATCCGACCTTATTAAATTAACAAATAGGCATAGGGGAGCTACCATAAACATATTTGAACGCGATGTTACTTTGAATAATGTCTTGACGTTTTAAATTATACCTACATCTAAATGTAACCATAAAAAAATCTGGCAAATCATTATTACCTAAATGTTACTTATGCTTTATTTTTTAACTACTATTAAACATTTGAAACTGGAATGAAATTTGACTGTTGAATACAATTTTTTTTCTCTCAATCTTGATTTACGCATATATTTTTTTTACTAAATAATTTTAATTAGTATATAATATGTTTATCCACACCTGCTTTTAATCTTAGCGAGACATAATCTTGCTAACATATATCCATACACGTTCGAGAACGTGAGGCACGCACTAATTAACGTTCAACGTGAAACTTCGTCGTACGAAGAGCCCAATCAAAGGTGAACTCTCGCCCTTCCAATACTTCCCTCGCCTTTGTCCTTTTTCTCAACTCAACGCGAGGAAGAGGAGGTCATATTTAGTTGGGTACTTCATAATTGCATGTCTAACGTTCCCTACACGTAACACGACCTTTTATTAGGTGGAAACTCTGTATATCACACTACACTCAAGTGCCAGTTCTTAACTCAATCGTTAAGAAATAAATTAAAATAAATATGAGAAAACTTTAATAAAACAACTATTACATTACCATCAATGAATAAAAATCACATTCTTCTGAGCGATGTTTAAAATGTTGAATCTATTCGATTTTTTATTTGATACGATGCGATTCGATTCAATTGACTTCTTAATCTGAATCGTCGATTCATGGACCGTGTTTAGTTCAATGAGGCTTGATACAGTTGATGTGTTATTGTCGTGTCGTAAGACGTCGTAAACGTCTACATTAGTCGAATATTATTGTTTATGGTCTATTAGCACGTATTTACTTGTGCATTAGTCCCACTGTATGGTTTCTTAGTGAATGGAATAATTTATTCACCGCTAAAACTATATCATCCTAAATTATTCGTTGCGCCTTGTAACAGGCCTTAATTTGCTCATGTTC